TACCAGTTTCTTGAGTGCAACAGATTATTGGGTTCTGCTTTTTGATCCAGTTTTCCAGTCTGTGTCTTGTAATTGGAGAGTTGAAGACATTAACAATGGGAGATATTACTTAGGTATGTTGGTTATCTACTATCATTGCCTTCTTTCTCTTTTCGTGTAGCATTTGTTTTTATTTTCCTGATTTTTTTTTTTTTTTGCTGTTTATCCATTGACCTCAGTATTTTTCCCTGTGTTTTTAGCTGTGTGCAATTTATTGTTTCTCTTGAGAATATTCTTAAGTATTTTTCCTAGAGCTGGTTTTGCACTCATATATCTTCTGAGCTGGTCTTTTTCATGGAAATACCTTATTTCTCCATCCATTATGAAAGATAGCTTTGATGGCTAAGTTAATCTCAATTGGAAATTATTTGCTCTTAGGACTGAAATACTTCTTGCAGGCTCTTCCACCCTTTAGGATTTGTGTTGAGAAGTCTGCTGTGATTCTAATTGGTTTGCCTCTGTGATTTTTTGTTTTTCTCTGGCTTCTTTTAATTGTTTTTTTCTTTTTTCTGGATATCTGGTAATTTAATAAAGATGTGTTTTAGCAAGATTTTCTTCATCATAATTGTTTGGTGTTTAATTATGAGCATGTAAGTGAATCCATCTATGCTACTTTTAGTTTTTCTCTAATTCTTGGTAGCCTTAGATTTTTCTTATTCTTGTAATCTAGTAGCTGCTGGATAGTCCTCTTATTTTCTTTTTGGCTTCTTTGAGCTCTTTGTCACAATTCACTATTTTTGTCCTCAGTATCAGTCACTTTGTCTTCACATTTTCTTCTTCACATAGAATTCAATGTTTGAATTCTATAGTTTATTATTTCAGATATTTCTATATGACATCTTTTTGAGGATTGCATGTTCTTGTTGAATCTGTCATTCAAATTTTGAATTCTTTTGGTTAACTTGGCCAGATTTTTACCTATTTCTGTGAAATTCACTGTGGGCATATTAAGTGAAATTGCTGTGAACTTTTAGTTCATTTCCTCTTTGATCTCACTTACTTTCTTCATCTGTTCTGTGAACTTTTTATAGATTTCTGCTACCTGGTATTTTTTTCTTCTCCCTTTGCGATCTCTTGCTTTTCTTTAGAGGAGTTGGGCAGTTTGGAGATCTATTTCTTTGCTTCCCCAGTCACATATATATTCTATATTATATTATATATAATAAATATGTATATATTATGTATGTTATATATGACATATATGTATATAGATTATAAATATAATATGTATATTATATATAACATGTATTATATATACATGTAATTATATATGGCCCCCTCTTTTTCCCCTTCTCTATTGAGAAGTTACCACAGGTGGGGGACTAGACAAGTGAGGAAAGTTTGTGGCTTATATGGGGATCTTAGTGGGATGTTGCCTCCCTGTGAATAGTTTTCAGCTTTTTATGTCCAGTGCTGGTAACTACTTTTTCTGTTATTTACTTTAAGTGTCCCTGTGGTTTGCTGAGTTATTTATTTTAAATGTCCCTATGTTTTGCTGAGTTACTTCAAGTTATAACAGCACCCACAGATTCAATTTATAACTCTTCCATATGATAGTCCTTGTAGTTATACCTCCCCCTTCATCTGTTTGTGCTATGACAGTTTAGTATTTGTGGTAGTTCTGCAGTGCGATAGTTGAGGTGGGATGGGGAGAAGGGTAGGTAGTTGCATGAGTGTTAGATACTAAGGAGGAGATTTGAAGGCAGAATAGTGGTAGATGAGAAGAAAAGGCTGATATAGGGTCTGATTTTACTGAAATACTTTTATTTGAGTTGAAGGGTGAGTACTGAGAGTATTCAGAGGATATTTTGTGGAGCCAGAGGTGAGATATGGGAGCAAGGTGGTTTATTGTATGGTTGAGGAAAGCTATGTGGTTGTCAGAAGTTGCTGAGAGGGAGGACAGTAAGCTAGGTAAGATATGGAAGAGCCAAAGGCTTAGGATGGTGAAGATTGAGGAATAATACTAGAGAAAATAGGAGTGAATGTGGGGAAGCTAAGTATGGGAATTTAAAAACTTAGGAGGAGGAGTTTATGTGTTTGGAAAAAAAGAACAAAGAAATATGTTAATAATATTGTCTCAGGGATTTGAGGCAAAGAAAGTAGACAGGGAGCTGAGATGAGGGGGAAAATCTAGACCTATTAATAGGGAGGGAATTTATTAAATCAGAGCAAATGAAAGAACAAATATACAAAAGCAACAGCCTAATAAACACAGGAAACCATAAAAGAATATAACATAACCCCATATTATTAAATAAGCTAAGAAACCTACAAAAACTTAAACCTATATGATGTCTGATGGGAACACAGATTAAATAATCTAATGAAACATTGCATATGTGATTACCAAGTAGCTTATTTGCCAGAGATTTTGAGTGTTCAAACTCTCCAATAACTCCTCTGATCCCTCCACCACAGTACTGAATATAACTTAGACTTAGGATTTCCTTTTGCCAGGTTTCAGGTGTTTCTGCAGAGTCTCCCTGGATGTGATGGTGGATTCAGCAGACAGGCTCTTTGGCACAAAATTGTTCACTGAGTTAGAATTATTCCTATACAATCGAATCAGCTAGACTAGTAATAGGCTAATCCATTACAGTGGTATCTATCAGGGCTAGTGGAGAAATGATATACCATGAGTTCCTGTTTTGGGTGTTCCTTACCTGGAGAAGAAATCCATGGTTATAGTATAAGCATCTCAACAACCCAAGACTTGACCCACAGTTTATGTGCACTAGATAGGATGGCTGTGTCCTTTAATGGTGAAAAACAGCATTCAGTGGTAATTTTATAGAATCAGTTATCTAACACTGAGTGGGTTGGGGACTGGGTAATGCCAGAGGGAGGAAGAGAAGATAAAAAAAGAAACAAAAAGTTTTTAAAGTCTTCTGCTGTCTGGTATGGGAAGAAGGAAATAGGAGGGTGACAAAGGATACTAATGTGGTAAGGGTATGTTATATATTTAGAGGGAGATATCAGGGAAAACTGGGTACAAAATTTGTAGTGAGAAATGAGGTTGGGAGAAGATTCTATGAGTTATATAAATATTAGAGAGGAAGTTAGAGGGAGACAGATGAAAAAGGGAAGAGCCAAGTAAAGAAAGATTGAGAAGGAAAAAGACACAGAAGAAAGAAGGTGAAGAGATAGGGATAAAAGTAGGAGGGATATAAAAAGACAAGGGAGAATTCCCCTACCTTCTATAAACTATATTGGGAGACCATATATGTTATGCTATGACAGGAAATTTGTCTACATTTTCCTCATGTCCTGAGACTTTGGGGGAGTCTGAGATTAAGTGTTGGGGGGTAATGAGTCTAGTGAGGGAAATTTCAAGAGGGACAACTGTTTAGGTTGTAAGATGGATACTTCTGCTTGGTGCTTTTAGAAAGAGCTACAGTGAGAATCAAGAGCAAATTGTGAGCTAAAGGATTTAAAAGTTTGCAGTTTCATCAGAAAGTAAACATCTGCAAAGTAGGTAGACTGGAGAGTATGGTTGTTGAAAAGACCAGCATTAAGAGGAAATGAAGTACTTTGCATCAGGACAATAGGAGAGATGGCTTGAGGGTATCTCAGGAATCAGCCGAACTTCACCTTTCATTGATTTAAGAGTGAAAAAAGGGAAAAGTAAACTTGAAAGCCTTTGCTCTGAGAGGAGAACTCCAGGAAGCCCTAATTCAGAAAGGCTTTCTAGGGAATTGGTTCACTGGGATTTATTTCACATTTCTTATCCATTTGGGCATTCAGAGGCCTCTGTAGCTATATTCCAAGGGGGCCTGCATCGTGTTTGAACTAGAGGCAGACTTTGGTGTCATCTACATTTTACAGACATGCAAAATGTAACATTTGTGGAGCAAGAGAGGCTTCCACCTAGAGTAGTGAAGATGTGAGAGTAAAGCTGAAAGTGCAGTGGAGACCCCTGAAAGTTGGAAAGTTGGAGAAGTTAAGAACATGAATGTGTGAGGAAAGCTACAGACACTGAGCAGAACCAACCCAAGAGAAAGGGTATGAGGGCTACAAGCAGCAATACTGCAGGGGCAGGGTCACCCAAGCCCTTTGGAGCTTATATTTTGATACAGCTTATCTTGAGTGCTGGACAGGGAACCATAGGATTTAATGTTTGCCTTGCTTGGTTTTGGCCTTGCTTTGGTCCCATTTATTTGTATCCCTATATATTCCCCTATTTCTCCTTTGGGGATGGAAGTATTTACCCTGTGTTATTTTTGTATGCTAGAAGCATTTTACTTTTTCAAACATTTTATACAGGGGCTCACAGTGAAGAATTTGCCTTGAGTCTAGAGGAGACTTTGGACTTTGACTTTTCACCAGTGCAAGAACTGTTAAAACTTTGGTGACTTTTGGAGATGGATTAAATACATTTTGCATAAAGAGATACACATGAGTCTTTTGGGGGCCAAGGTTGGAATGTTATTGTAGATGTCAGATATGGTAACCCGGTTATCAGAAAGTGACAAAGACATGCAATAGCAAAAAGTGTTTTAGGCTGTGTAATTTTATACTCTATTTTAGAAGCAGAACTTGATTTCCTAAGGCTTTCAGGAAACTATTCAACTGATCAAAATAATATGTTCTCCATGCAAAACACACTTTATACTCTTAATATATGCATAACAAAAAGTACTTAACAAATTTCTGTCCAAATATTTCCTCTCAAAATGGGGATTTACATTATAAGCCTATATACCTAATATACCAGCATGTATAGATGTTTACTTTGATTTTCTTGGTAAACATTTATGCTCAATTTTGGCTGTCAAGAGTACACTATGAAAAGAGGGACAGTTCAGAAGTTAGAATGTAATAATATTTCTTTTTTATGCTGGAGATCAAACCACCCAGAGCCTCATGCATGCTAGGCAGGTACCGAGCCACTGAGATATACCCAACACCTGATAATATCCTTTTATAATTGGGGGAGGGGAAAGTAAGAATGACTTACTTACCTAAGACCCACTTCATGATTAGCATTTCTGTCCAGGAGAACTGCGTGGTTTTCACTCTGAAGATCTGTTTTGGGTAGTCTGTGAAGGTTTCATTGGGCAGGGTTTTAACACCTTCAAATCGGTCAGATGCATTCACGACTAACAGTCCCAAGAAGATTGTAAAAGAAACTGCGTGGGCGACAAACTTCATGAAAGGGCTCCTTAGTGTTCGTCCTAGCTGGAAACAAAATGGGTACAAGATATGTTATACTGGAAGCTCTTGGTTGATGCAGGTCTATCTTTAAAACACTGATTTCATCAAACCAAAGTTTAATCAGAGAATCCTCCACCTTGGACAGAAATCAAACAACATTTTCCCTGCACTTACATGGGAGATACTGCTTGACCAAAAACTTCAGTTTTTTCCCATTTAGAAGTCTTAGTGGAAAAGAGTGACATACCATCATGTTACATATGATTGTACAGATACTCACAACCCCTTTGATATAATTTTATGTTCTTCAAATCTTGGAAAAATATCTGAGTATAGTTCACAATGTTAAAAATACACTTTGGGTGTGTCCTGTTGCTGTTTTACCCTTGGGCTTTATGCTTAGATTGTTTTCAAATTTGTTTAAAGCTACAGATTCCTTCAAATAGCTTTCTCTATATTCTCATAAACTTGACATGAAACATTTCATTGACTTTCAGTTGTACATATTTTATAATTTCTCTTTTGATTAATTTTCAGCTTGGGGTTACTTTGCAGACAGATAAGGCTTTTTCCTGTTTTAAATAATTTTAATTTTGCTGTAGCATGTTTATGGAACATAGACTTGTAAATTTAATTGAAGTTTTCTTTATGGTCTAATATTAATTTGTGTAATTGTCTACATAAGCCTGAAATGGTCCAGAAGTTGCCCTTGTCATTAGCCAGTGTTAGTCACATCTTTTCTATTTCATGACATTACCATCCAAAGGCCATTTAGATCTTTGGGGATTAAATTAGGGGCTTCATATAAAGTTTTTATTGAACTCCTGTTAATGAACTCACTTCAGTCTTTTCTAAGTCACTGTCATCACTGTCATCTAAGCACCATACCTTACCCCTCATCCAGGTACACTAACAAGGCAAGAACAAAGAGGGAGATCTTTTCTGAAGTTCAGCTACTTCTCCAGGGCAGATATTCAATTATAACTGGTGGCTGATTAATTGATATTAAGATTCTGCCTCATTCAATAGTCCTGGAATGAAATGTCACCCAGGAGATATAGTATTGATCCAACAAAAAGTCAATCACAGAAGCTTTTCTAGGTAAAACTTCCCTAATTATGATTATGTTCAATATAACATTTGTAAATCAGATGGCTTGATAATGCTCTTTTAATGTGTTTCAGTATGATAACCACCCATTTTAATTCTAGTTAATAGTATAACATGATTAGTTATGATTTTGATGCTATAAATCTTATCAATTGGAATTAAAATAATAGCTGTTTATTGTCCCTTTTAAAACCCATGTGTCAGGTCTGGACATTGGGAAACCCTGATTGTGTTAATAGTGTCATGTAACACTAACAATAACTTTAGGAATGTAAGAGAATGTATATTTGACATTCACAGGGCCACAGGCATCTTATAAATAACATTTCTGTATACTGTAATGTTTAGCTTTATTATTTACAAAAATAGAGACTATAGACTATTTTTGACAATAGACAGATGTACTAATTTCAGAATGCAGAGATTAAGTGTAAGGACAAATAAAATATCTCACATAGATTCAGAAAATCAATTAAACCATATTGTATTTTGATTTATATATCAAATAGCTGGTTTTGATTTTTAATGTTCTAGCTAATGATGTTGGCATCTTGTTACCTCTTTTATATTATTATATTCTGGCAGAAGATGAATCTGTAAAAATGTTTATACTTGTTGCAAAATGTAATAGGGGAAAGAAACCCTGATAATGCCCTGTGATTTGTAAGGTTAACTCAGCTTATTTCTCACTTTCCTCATAGGGAGGAAAAATGAGATTAGGAATTGATGCTGTTTTCCTTTATTCTAGTCTTAAATATATTTTTAACAAGTAAAACTTAGATAAAGATCAGATGAGATGCAATCATTTCAGTGACTTTTTCTTTTTATTTATTTTCTTTTCGTGTGTGTGTGCGCGCGCGCATGCGCGCGCTCACGCGCATGCGTGAAATTCCCTATTTTATTCACAAAGATAAATTTTGAAGTAAATTACCTATGGAGAACACCCCCATCCCTTACAGAATCTCTAGATGAGCTCAAAGAAAGGTCAGAAGTCAACCAGTATGTACCAACAGCCCTTAGCTGTGGAATTTTTGAGGCTATATCAGGTAACAGTTGTAGATTAAAATTGATGCTAGAGCTTTGGGAGATGGGGACTGTAGTCCACTGTGTCCACAATGCAGAACCTCTGAATCTGAAAGCATACTAACACATCTTAGGCATTACTAGGACCATTTGAACTGAAAGTGGTAGGAGATTCAGCCCTGTAGAATTAAGTTTGGCTTGCCCCAAACTTCCTGGGTACTATTCTTTTATTCTAAGAAATATATGAATGTGAGAACAACTGATTAGTGCTCTTGGATTAGCTCCAAGTGTATGGTATTCACAGAGCCTTAGAGGTGGGCACCTTTTACTGGCTGACATAACTTTGTTCCATACCCCTCAACTCTTGCCCCTACCCACAAGTGTAAGCACCTAATGGGGACCTGGTGGCTTGTGGATCCCCACATCATGACAAAGCAGGTCAGTGGCCATGGTTGCAGTAGAACATGGAGACAATGTTTCTAACTCACATTCCTGGTCTTAAACCTACAGAGTCTCCTTCACCAATATCACCCTCACTTTCTGGCAGTTACCAGTGGTCTCAAGCTAGGGCTTACTTTACATTTGGAAAGCTGAATGGGGGTGAACTTTGGAATCATTTCAAAAAGAAACATGCACTTCTTTAAGGCCCCTTGTGTCTCAGATACTGTTTTAGATGTCCAGATTCAATTAGTGGCAGATTCCTGAGTATGCTCTCCCAAAATTGTTATTCAAAATGTCTATCTAGAGCTTAGGAATCTTGTTTTTTATGATATGGGGATGTTCATTTAGGTGTCTCTAGTCAGGGTATTGTCACAGTGTGAAACCACACTTCATTTTGTGATCTGTAGAGATGCTCAGTGATAATGAGATTTACAAAATGGGGCTTCTAATGAAAGAAAACAAAGGGGTAGGTTTTGTTCTGTGGTGATTTTGACTTCTCATTTCTAGAAAAGTCCTGGCAGATAATAAAGGTCAGAATCAAATCCTTTCCAAACTCAGTTGTTCTGCAGCTAATATATGTACAACAAACATTGAATGTTGTAATGCTATTGATGTACCTAGAGAGGTGTGTACAGTATGTATGTCTATGTGTAGTGACAGATCTCTGCACTAGAGACCCTAGATTTAAACTACAGTTCCATAGTTGTTTTTGTCAAGCTACTCAATGTCTTAGTGTTTCAGTTTATTCTGTAAAATGGAGATAAAAATAGTACCTCCTGCATAGGTTTGATGTAGTCAACATCATGTAACACAGTACCCACAAAGCAAGTAGGAAGTACCTAACATATATGTCAGTGAGGAATTCATAGAATTCCACTGAGGGGAAACTTAAATGGAACTTGGCCAGCTCTTGAAAAGGAGTGATGCAAGGGTTCACAAAAGCAGACCTACAAGCTCATTTGGGGAACCACCTATGTGCAACATGATGCTGGACACTAGACGTGATGGAGATAAAACAGGGTATGAGAGTTGGTCCTTCCCTCCAAAGGTAGAGGGGAGGAACACAGGCTAAAAATGTGGTAAAAACTAGATGGAGCCAAGTGTAGTGATGCACACTTGTAATCCCAGCACTCAGGAGGCTGAGGCAGGAGAATTGCCATGAGTTCGAGGCCCACTTGGGCTGCATAAGCGAGTTCAAGGTCAGCCTCCACCACATAATGAGACCCTGTCTCAAAAAATCCCAACCCAACCCAACCCAACCCAACCCAAACCAAACCAACCCAAACCAAACCAAAACAACAACAAAAAATTAGATGGAGAGATGGGGAATGATGTTTCAGGGCTATGACAGGGTTCAAAATGAAAGGGACCAGCCTCTGGTATCTTCAGTTCTCTCCCATCTGGGTGGTAGGTGCTAGACTATCCTTTCAGATTTGGGGGCAGAAGTATTTCTAAAGTAAGAGCAGCAGCACTCTATTTCCTGACATAGATTTTCCTTCCTTGGCCATGATTTTCTGTAATCTACTGAAGCTCTCTGGTAGAGACAAATGTGGGGGAAACCAAGGCCTCTAGAATCACTCTGTTCTCCTGGTTGGCTCCTGGACCACGTGGATTGAGGATCCTTTCAAGTCTGAAGCTTGGGGTAAGGTAAAGTGAGATCTTCACAAGCTACTCACTCATGCCTTTCTCACTAGATGTCCTTGTTTGGGATGTTGGAGGAGGCTAACAATTAATGCTCTGAGATTCCTCCAAGCCAAAGTTGTGTGGCAGTAAGGGCTGATAGATTATGTATTACACAAGCACCAGGTTGGACTATGAAGTGACTTTTGGAAATAACCGCAGGGATAAATAAAAAGTGACATTTGACAGGTAAAAAAGGAAATATCTTCTCGTTTCACACTTTATAATTAGAACACGCGTACTTCCTCAGCATTTTCATATGTTGACTTCTGCCCCAGTCTTCCTGCTATTGAGGCATTGTTTGAATCTTTGAGGACGGTTGTTATTCTTTTAGCTCACAATCTCAATTATGAGTCACAGCGGGATAGAAAAGGATGGAAAATAGCCTAATAGCTATAAAGGCTGTTTGGCATTGGAGCTTGTATTGAGAAGATAAAGAATTCTAGGAAAGACCTACTGCCTGCATCCATGTGGTGATGACCTCACTCATCTCCCAGTGGCTCCCCAGTGGCTCATGATGCCAATAAGAAATGAACAAAATCACTGTTCTTTTTTCTTGATCATGCCAAACCTGTCCTATGCTCCCTGTCTATACTTAGCATCATATGTACCCATTTCTGACTTGGTTTATCTCTTCAATTAACATATTAACTGAATTCCTGTTAACAACCTTTAGCTTCATAGTCTTCATACTTAACTCCTCTTTTGAGGGACTCTCAGAAACTTAAAAGAATATAAAAATAGAGTTAACAGCCTTGGTAATTCAATAGGAAATAAATAATGAGTTCATCTTGGCAGGCTAAGGTAATTTTGGTGTTCTTAATGGTCCCTAAATTAGGACAGCGACTATTAGGAAGTAAATGCACCATTAGTTTGGAAAAAGAAATTCCAACATTTGCTGGATGCTGATGGACATTACCCAGCTGATGAAGTTTGGCACTGACATTTTGTGAATGCATTTATAAAAGAATATCAATGTCTAATTTCTTAAATGGAGATGTAATAATGTCATTAGAACATGGAATCCCTAGAAGGACATTGTATTTTTCATAAAATTACAGAAATAGATACAAAAGCAATGACCCCATTGAGTGGTGAAATACCAGCTTATTAATAGACTTCTCCACTGTGCCTTCCTCCCGAGAGGACATGTATTCTGTGCATCAGGACTCTTAGAGAGGGGTGGTTTTGTTACAAAGTAGATGTGACCTCTCTGTAATTCCCAGTAATATTGCTGCCAAACTTGAAAAGATTCCTTTCTAAGTGGTGAAAGGGAAGACTAAAAATATCTTGACTGTTTTTTCTATCCTTTGGCTGCCTCAGAGCAAGCTCGACAAGCTCTTTAATGAGGGAATCTTTCCTTGTAATGAGCAGTGCCACCCAGAGTCATCTCATGCTACAGACTGAGACTTGTCACTCAGCTATCAATATGTCCCCCCGCCACTGTGCTTGGAATCTAGAAAGCTCACAGACATGACAAGTGGCTGAATGATTGGATCATGTTTATCTCGAGTAATTTTTTTCAGTCTTCCTAGAAGTTTTAGGGCACCAAATGTCAATCATATCAGTATCTGTACAGAGAAGAGAAAGCCCCAATTTTGGGCCAAACCTTCATGTAAGCATTTGCTCCAGAAGTTAACCACTGCTATAGGTCTGACCCCTATATCATCTGGTAGTACTTAGCTTCTGAGATTTACAAGGCCTAAGAATTTCCTCTCCAGAATCACATACCCTTTTTGGCTGATCACATGTGCACATTTGCCAAGATTTGTCTCAGACCTACCAGAAATCTAAATTTAGTCAATGACTGGCATATTGTCTCTTTGTGAATCTTTCCCCATGTGACTAGGCAGGCAGAAGCAAATCAGTTATCTGATGTTGGCTAGTCCAAATTTCTTGGAACCTACTACATTTAGTTTTGTACCAAAAGTGGGGATTGGCAGCATTTCCTCCATAAAGGTACTGTTATCTTAATTACTGAAAGCCTAGAATTAATTTTAACGCTCAAAGAGAGTAGAGGAAAGTGTGCCTATCCATGCAGGCTCTGGGCAAAGGCAAGAATCCAGCCTCCATTACAGCCTAGATGATTCCACCCTCAAAACATCTCCAAAACCAATGACCAGCTCCAATTCAGGTCTAAGCCTGGTTTCACTCCCTGATCTTTTTCAGCTTATAATAAAGGACAGGGAAACATTGCTTTACATACATGTTATTTGGAGAATTTTGATTTGCAAGTCCACAGCATGCAATGGCCTTAGAAAAAAAATTCTCAATAGATGTAAAGTTGAATACTGTAAATATTCAGCTTTAGGGCTTTCATTTTTTATACAATTCTGTGGAAGTTGGAGTTGAGGCCTGATCTCTGCTTTAGGGCTTTAGGGCTTTCATTTTTTATACAATTCTGTGGAAGATGGAGTTGAGGCCTGATCTCTGTCTATGACCCACCCAACTCTGAGACAGGCGTTTTATTGGCTGCCTAGCTGGGTGGCCTCGGCATCAGCCTTGAAGTCTTAGACCCATCAATCTGACCTGAATTCTCCATACTTGGACTTGACAAGAGGGTCAGTTCACTGGTGACACTTTTATTAGAACATTAGCTGATCAAATTTCCTGTGGAACTGATCTCCCCATAGCCATACTTTTTCTATTGAATGTTAATTATCTAAACTTAACTCCTTTAAAAATATATCACTAGGTCAATGTAATTTTGTAATCTTAAAAGACAATCTTAAACCCACAAACCATATTTCAAAATTTCTGCATGGTTTTGTTTTCTAGGCACTAACTCTTTCCTGGAGATGGGGTGCTGGTGCTTTCTGTGGCATAAATGGCTGGGCTGTGGGGATGATGGTACAGCCAGTGGGACAGTTTGGTACCTGCAAATTCTATTCCTCCTCTTAGTGGTCACTTGATATTCACCCTCAGATAAAAACCCAGTCTTACACCTTTTGAGTTCTTCTTTTGCCTTTGTCCTTTTTATAACCTAATTAATTGTGCACATGAGTCAAGTCTGATCAAAGAGGCTAGGAAAGTGAAAAGGTTGCAAAGGGTCTGCAGTGCCCCAATATGAACCACATTTAATAGTCAGCCTACTAGCTAGTTCTCATTTCTGAACCAACTTCAGGAAGTGTAGGCATTATAATGAAGGGAGATGTTCCATGAAAAGGATTTAGCAAAGAGAAAATACTAAATAAGCACTGGATGTTACTATTACCATGATTATAATTATTATACAATGGGTTTGGAGGATGTGCTTAGCACATTGCATAATTAGAAAAGTGCCTTTTTTCTTGCTCTTTCTATTCTGTTATTGATCCAAGTAGATTATTCTTCACATTTAAAATTCCCATTTTATCATTTGGCTCTTTTAAACAATGATTTAAAAAACAGGTCTTAACATTTTCCCTCTTAAATTGTTGTGTACTTTTGCCAGGTATCTCAGGACTGTTATCTTTTCTGTTAGCTTTCTGTGGTGCTGGAGTTAAACTGAGGGTCTCACACATGCTAGGCAAGTGATGTACCACTGAGCTACATCCCCAGCACAGAACTGTATTCTTAAACAGTGGGAAAAGATCCACTGCTAATTTGAACAAAGTGAGCTTTAGATCATGCCAGGAAGAGAAGAAATAACTGCAAACGACATGCACCTGAAGCAGTCTGTACCTTGCTGCACGGAGCAATCCAATAGGCTATGGCGAGAAAAGGGAGGCCTATGGAGACTCCAAAGACAGCCAGGAATTTCACAGCGATAGACTGTTGACGTAAGCCTGAGAGATTTTCATACCACATGGTAAGCAATTGCTGCTGACAGTTAGGATGAGCAACGAACTGTAAAAACAAAACAAAAACAAAAACAAAACGCAAACAGGAAAATGGCATCGATAGAACTTAAACAGTATTCAACTTAGGGCTGAAATGTTTCACTTGGGGATTGGCTTGAATGTTAGAGCCAGACTAACTGAGGAAAGTACCAGGTGAGAGTGAGTGTGAGTGGGTGGAGCTTCTGACAGTATGGCAGGAAGCTTTGTGCTGTGGTCAGACCTCTCTAGGGACTGGCTAAACTAGTGCTTTGCAAAATGAGGGTCTGGGAAAATCTTAGATGCAGAAAGCAATAGCTTTGGGGTAAATTTTGTTCCATTTCAGGCTGAAAATCTGATCTGGGGAGACTTATTTCTGGGCAGAATTCTTCAGTGAAGCAGCACTGAGTAATGAATGGATCATGAATAGGATTTTGGAGTCAGAATTTTGGGTTTGAATTTTGCTCTACCACTAAACTAGCTGAGTATCCCTGGGCCAGCAACTTAACCTTTCTGATCCTCAACACTCTCATCTACAAAACAGTTTATCACTTTGTTTGGGAGGATTAAATATTGTAGGACGGTTCCCCCTCTCTTTTCCTATGTAGTCAGAGGAAAAATGCTTACAGTATTTCCAGAGAACTCATAAACTCAGTATTTTTGGTTAGATCTTAATGGTGTTTGGCTTGGATCCATAGCACTTTCTGTGGGTTGCTGGAGCACTGACACATCGTATGCTCTGTGTACGTTTCGTCTGGGATGTCACGCACCCTTCTCACCACCACTTCCATCTCCTGGAACTGTCATACCCTAATGCCAAGGTTACAAAGTGACCTCTTAGGGTCATTTTATGTTATGTGGCTTAATCCCCGCAGCATATTATTATTTGATCAGGGGTGGAACTTTGACCTAAACTGGGCCCATCAGGTTTTCTCTCTAAATAGTGGCCAGTTAACGTGTAACCTGGGGAGATCATAACAGTACTCTTCTACTGTGTGAACTAATCGAGAAAACAAAGCCAGTTAAAAAGAGAGAAAGAATGAAGATGTACGGAAAGAGGCTGAGATAGAGGCTGACCCTTCAGAGACTATCTAAGCTCCACTCATATGTTCTACCAGGCCTCTCTAGAGTCATAGACAAAAAAGCTCCCTTTTTTCCTTGATCTCGCACATTGACTTGAGTTGCTGCAACTAAAACATTGATTTTCTGCAAATAGTTGTTGCTACTTGGCCATTTACTTAGTTGACCCTGTTCTAGTCAGTGGCTGGTTATAGGCAATATTTAAGTAACATGAGTGGGAATAAAGTTTAAATTTATATACATTAGTTTCCCCCCATTTGCCAGGATTGTTCTCTGGCCTTGCTAAGGATACTGGTGAACTCTATAGAAGCATAGTTGGGATTTGTGGAAAGGGACCCACTGTACCTTGGAGTGTAATGTGCCCATTTTCACCTCACTTGTCACACTGGGTATTAAGGGTACATGTTCAGTGATACTCCTGGGAAATATAAGACATTCCCTTTTCATTATAAGAACAGTGTAAATACAGCTATTCTAAAATTCTCAATGCAGATGACTGTGTACTTGTAAAGATCTCTGGTTTCTAGGGACTCACAGTAGTAGCAGAGAATCTGCCAGGATCCTCTCAAAGGTTTATTGGGTCTCATAGCCCCTGGTAATTGTATTAGCTTGAGTATTAGATGGCAATGAGCTTTATTGTGGCATTATTGGATTTATAGCAACCATTGTGGTCTTTCCCTGCAAGTATAGGCACAATGAATTTTCAATCTAGAGAGAAACCCTCAAGCCAGTAGGTAATATGTTATGTCCCTTTTCTGGTTCACAATAAAAGGGACAAACAGAAAATAGTGTAGATGTTTCAGTAACTCTCAGAGTCTAATCAAAACATGGTGCTAAAATGGCTTGGTAAGTGAGCACAGGAAGTAGTCATTTTTGTTTTTGAATGGTGCCAAAATGGTCCTGCTTTAGAGACTCAGAGTTTGATTAGTGGTGGGGGCATACATCTATGAAATAGTATGAGTTACTACTTGACTCACCCTGTGGTTCCCTGTACTTTAGCTTCCCTGGAAAGCATGCCTTGCATTCACTGTCATTAGCTCCTTTGTGTCTGGGGGAGCCAAGCCTATGCTTATTCTGTTGCTTCTCTCCAGGCCAAGTCAGCTCAATGGACTGTGGGGGTGGGGGTGGACAAAGGTTTCGAGACAGAGCACAGTGGAGACTATCCCCACTTTCCCTTTCTTACCTGAGAGGACGTGTGGTCCAAACTAAGTAAGTGGGGTCTCCTGAAACTCTATCTTCCTGTCCTTATAGCTTTGCTAATTTCCACAGCTGTACTTATTCTTCCATAATAAAGTAACCTTGCTTCACAGGTAGACTTTATATACAATACTCCCAGAAAGCTGACAGCTGGAGCCCAAATTGATATTTATATTTTCATGGGCATTTTTCTATACTTGTGGCTGGCCTTGGAAGTCAACTTTGTGACATATGGTTCAATGTGTATCAAAGAATTTCTTTTCTGCTATGATTTTTTTTCCAGTTTCTGCTGTGATTTTGAAGCACAGAAAAATACCATCCCTGATCCAAGGAGGATGAGAGTAGAAAATGAATTATACCAACAGGACACAAAGAAAACTCTAATCAAAAGGGCACACAGGCAAGGAACAAAGTCAGGAAGAACTCAGGGTGGGAAGAGGATTTTCAAAAGCAAGGTCAGAGTGGAACCAGTAGAAGAAAAGCCCATGTCTAGAAAGGAATGGGACTCAGAAAATTTGTATTGTCTTGGACTTATTTTCTTTGATATCGAGCTCACAAAAGAATGGAATGATCAAAGGGTGGATGCCATCAAGAGCTTTGCCCAGGTCATTCCTGCTCTGAGCCATTCTGGCCTTGAGTGTGGCATACTTTTAGGAGAATTCTTCAGGGAATGTACTGACGTGATATGATAGGATTCACACTCTTCAGAGCAGGGAGTTTGTAATGGGCTAGAGCTGAGAATTTGGTAGGTGGGTTTATGTGGGGCTGAGCAGCCTTGTAAAAGAAAACAAATCAAACTATATCCATTATTGGGATGGACAGCAAGAGCTAAGAGAAGTTGAACTGCAAGGAGGGATAGAAGGGGACTCTGAGACAAAATTCTGTATCATAGAAAGGAGCGTGTGGGATTAGCTAGATTGGGAAACAGGACCCAAAGTCAGGAAGAGCCAGAAGTCATGTGGCTGTTGGTTTTTGAATCCATTCCAAACCAATTATCCTGGTAGCCCACTTGCATCAACCTCATAGTTAATGTAACATTTGTGCTCAGAGTAAGTTTCTAGTAACATCTCACCCGGACATCCTGCTCCTCCCAGCGCCTGGCGAGAGTAGTGAGAATATAATGCTAGTTTATGGGGACTCTAGGGCATATTGACTAAACTGTGGTTCTTACTTTGATTTTATTTAGTCCAAGGCCTACGATTTCTTTTATAGACTAGAGGAAAACCACACCCTTCATTCTTTTCCCGGCTTTATATTAATTCACAAGGAGGGTAATACAACAAGCATTGTTAATTTCCTACCACTTTGTTTGTAACTCTGTATTGTCTGTACTGTTCTTTTGCTGGTTTGTAAAATGTTGTCTGTCTGTTAATGTTTTCCTCCTTTTATTTTTAAAATAAAAATAAAGGAGATATGTGCTGTTTTAGGAAGTAGTTGTTACAGAGCTACAAAACTTCCTTAATTAACCACGCATTGAGTATTTCAAGGGATGCCTTATGGGACAACAGCACCCACAACCCAGATATCACAACAGTATAGAAGGCTTTTTCTGCCAGTGAACGGTTAAGTACATGGACAGCTGCAAGGCTGCCTATGTTCAAGTGCTGGTCCTGCCTTACGTTGGCCAGATATTAGGTCATTCTTGGCTCTTTTCCTGCTTAGATTTCCTGTTCTGTAAAATCTAGTAATGAGAATTAAGTAAGTTAGTGTTTGTAAAATGCTGAGAACAATACCTTGCAAAGAGTAAGTACTATGTTAGTATTGGTTAGATAAAAACAAGCCAGTGTCTTTCTTTTACTTTTTCAATTTTCCCCTTCTTCTGTCTTTCCCTTCCTTACTACTCTCTACACTACTTTTCTGGTCTATACTCATGACTTCCATTGTATTTTAGCAGACATTTTCTTCAAGTTGTTATTGCCTTTAGAAATTTCTAGGTAGCAACGAGTTGGCTCTTTTGAAAAGATTAGTGGAACCTAACCAGGCTGTCAGGCCACTCCTTCTGGGTCCAGTTTCTCTGTCACCATCCTGCACAAAAGGTGGAGCTTGATTCCTTGAAACTATTAACTCACAATGGGCTGGTCTCTGCTGGGGCTGTCGGGGTCACCATCATGTCTCTTCATCAGATACACTGATGCTTGCCCCTTTGTTGATTATGGGGCCCTTTGGCAATGAGGAGCAGTTCCAGCTACTGAACCTGCAGAAAGCTTTCCATCCTCCTTGCTGTCCCTCTCCACACACACCTTAAAAGCTGTTAAGTCCTGCATGCTCTTTTGGGGTAAGGGGAAGAGGCTGCCTTTGGGGCTGTATAATTTCCACATTTCTTCAGCATAGATTTTTCTCTCTGATACAAGGCTTCATTTACACAGTAATGAGATGATAAACTGTAAGAATATCTTAGCTGGAGAAAATAATGTTCTTTTAAATAGATATGGCACCAGAGGCCTCACTAGTGTCTGATGTGACTGTGGTCAAGATTTTCCCCTTCATTCACATTAGCATTTACTGATAGAAATCTTTTCTTTTAGAAACTATCTACATAGGCAGAAGGAGACCAGTCATCAGAGGTTGTTCTCAGTGTGGACAGTGGATCTGAGTTAGAATAACTTAATGTTCTTCCTTCCACTTTGTCTTGACAGTTCTTTCAAGTCATGCAAGTTGGAAGGGAAGGAGAAAGATGGAAAGGTCAGTTGTTCACTAGTTTAATATGTTGGTTTGTTCATTTGTTCACTCATTCACTCCTCTGACAAACCTTTT